AAGAGGTATTCTTCTGATTCAATAATATTCTAACTTCTTGAGTAGAATAGAATGATCTACTGTGTTAAAAGCTTTTTGTAGATCTACAAAGACACCACATGCAAAGTTTTTATTGTCAAGAGCTTTTTAATAGACTCAGTAATTTTAACAAGTGAGTTGTGGAATGATTAACACGAAACCCATACTGGTGTTTGAAAAGGCATTTAAATTTATTCAAAAATGCACAGAGCCTCTTATGCATAGCTTTTTCAAAGAGTTTGTTTAGGTAAAAAAGAGAGATAGGATGGTAGTTACACATATTTATTTTAGAACCTTTTTTCAATATCGGAATGACTTTAGCAACTTTGAAAGCATCTGGGAATAAACCGTTTTGAAATGAGTTATTTATAATACTACTAGCAGTAAGCAACCCCTAATACGGGTTTTTAGTAAATAAAATTAAAAAAAAAAAAACGCATTTAGAAAAGCCTAGAAACTACTTCAAAGTAGAAAAGCCTAGAAAATGACGTAAATCGACTATCAACTACTATTAAATTAGCGTTTTAATATTATCAGAAGAGGTTTAGAAATATGTCTGGAATAAGTTTAAGAAGGAATGTAGAAAGGCTATTAGGATCAAAGTTTTTTTCACTTCTAAGGGTGGTTTTAGTAAGATTAGAGATTTCATTCTCTGTGACAGGATCAATAAAGAACGATTTAGAATATGGAGAGTTGATATAGTCAGTAAATTTGGATATTGAAGGAATGATTTTGTTTTGAAGTTTGTTTTGGATAGTAACAAAAAAGTTGTTTAACATATTCGATATGTTTGTTCTGTGATAATTTTCTTTCGATTTAAGTTTGAGAGTTGAACTTTAGTAGGAAGGTTTTATATTAATGATTTCTTGCATCCCTTTCCAAGTATTCTTAATATTGTTTAAGTTTTTACTAAAATAGATTGTGTAATAGGATTTTTTACTAATTTTTAGTAGATTGCTTATTCTGTTTCTATAAAATTTAAATTTAGAAAACAGTTTATTTTTAATGCTAATATCTTTACATTTTGTGCATTTTTTATAGTCTATTTTTATTGGAAATAGATTTAAGTATGCCATTGATGATCCATGGTTTTGATTTAAGTTTAGGAGAATGCTGATCTAATAGGTTTCCAAAGGTCTTTAAAAGAAAACTGATAGATTGATTTACATCATCATTTTTTTTAATATAAAGATCCCGGTTAATGTTGGAAACATCTTCAATAAATATATTTTTGTTAAAGGTCTTTAAGCATCGTCTGTAAGGTATAATTTTTTTAGAGTGGTTAGTTTTTCTAAGAATGCAGATAAATTGAGCCATATGATCACATATTGAAGTAGTAGGATTGCCAGAAATTTGGTCATGTGAATTTAAGTTTATAAAAATGTTATCAATAAGTGTTTGCGATATAGCTGTTATGCATGTTGGTAGAATTTTTTTTTTTTTTTTATTTTATTTTAATTAACCTCCTCAAGGCCGAGAAGGCCACTACAGACGAGGAGGCTACTTATTTGTGGTTATAACCCTCTCTCAACTCTATAACTCCGAAACACGAACCTTGACGAGCAAGGCCGCTGCGCGGAGAAACGAGTTGAGCGCGGTACTACCAGGGACGTGGTGGGGATCGAACTCGGAACCACTCGTTTATAAAGCGAGCGCTCTACCACTACACCACTACCGCATATAATTATAACAGGAGGTAATGAAAAAGAAATAAGCAAGTCAAGGTAGCTAGATATAGGATTTGATTCATTATAATTTAGTATATCCATGTTAAAAACACCCGTAAGAAAAATACTTTTTTTTCAATATTCAACTTATCTAATGGTGGAGTTAAATAATTATTAGTGAAATTGTCTTGATTCATAGATGGATGACAATATATGCAACTAGTTATTATATTTTTTAAGCGAGGTTTTATAGTTCAACAAAATTGGATTCAAGACATTTGGAAGAGTAGATCTTTAGGTCGTTGTGAACAGTGTAGTTTAAATTAGAGTTTAAATATAGAAGAGCACCCCCTTTTTTAGCCTCAGTGGGGCAATGCTCAATGTTAAAACCAGTTATAGATATGCTTGTTGTATTTGTATCATTTACATACAAATTTGACTCAGTAATACCTATTGCCACAGTTAATGTATTCAGAGTGCTAATAAAGCTTCAGAGATCATCAATGTGATATGGTAAAGAAGCAACGTTGATATAAATATAAAGATCTGAATTAGGATTAATTTTTTTATTGAAATCTATGGTGTCATAGTATTTACAATTAATTGAATCTTAGGGATTATTTAGATCTGAAATTGAATTTCGTGGACTTGATGTAGTGTCAAGAGAATATAGTAAATTAGTATTCTTGTGCGATAGTATTTGGTCAAGCTTAAGGTCAGAAAGAGAGCCAAATTAAATATTCTTAGATGGCATAATAAGATATTAGGAGTGTAAAATAATTTGGTTATATTTAGTATGATTTTAAAAGAGAGAAAAAAAAAGAGTTTGTTAGATGAAATATAGCTTGTAAGCATTAATGTAAAATAGTAATAAATTCAAAGAGATGAGAGATAATAATGTAGTGGCTATAATATATAACATAAAACATTAGCAACTAAGTATACAACAAAAATTATAATAAAAAGTACCAAATAGTATATAGCAATAACTATAATAAAAAAAAAATCAATAAACAGTACTTTAAAAAAGTAAAATAAGTAATTCGAGTACATAATCAACAATATCATGCTAATATACATACCAAAATATCATGGATGTAGTAATGATAAATGAATATAGAAGTACACTTAATATAAATGCACTTTTTCTGAACAAAAAGTATTTAAGAAATTAAAAAAGAAAAATGAATAAAATTTAAAATAAAATAAGAAATCACTAAACAAGCAAACACTTCCAAAAAACAAGTCAAAGGTCTCAAATAACAAATAAAAACTCTGAGATAGCAAGTAAAAAAAAATCTTGATATTTTAGCTTCTCTACTTGTTCTTGCTTCTTTTCTGCTAATTTGAGTCAATCTTTTCATTCAATAAATTGCATCAATCACTCAAGTAATTTTCTCTAGTTTCCAACTTTTAACTGATTGAACTCGAAGTTTTAAGGCGTATTTCCACGGAACAAATTTATTCGCGCGAAGCGAATTTTTTCGTCTATAAGCATGCGCAGATAAAACATTTCTGTTAATTTTGAAAAATGTTTTATCTGCGCATGCTTATCGACGAAAAAATTCGCTTCGCGCGAATTAATTCGTTCTGTGGAAATCCGCCTTTAAAGTTGAGAATTTCAAGTTTTGAAGTTATGAACTTCGAGTTTTAATGAAATTGAGTTCCAACTTTTAAATAATTGGATTTTAAGCTTCCAAACATAATAAAAAATATGTATGTACATATGCATAGATTTTATATATATAAATATGTATATACATATGCATTTTGCTGTGAGCATATATATATATATATATATATGTTCACATACGCGCGCACACCATCACACTCACTCAGACGCACACATATATGTATGTATGTATTTATATATATGTGTGTGTGTATGTTTTTATTTTCAGGTTGTTTATCATTCTCAAAATGCTTGTGATCCAGCGACTATAAGTAAATTGGTTAGCATACTGAATAAAAGTAGTGGGGAAGTTGTTCAGAAACGACCCAGGTACAAGAATGTTAATAATTAATAAAGTATTTTTGTATATTTTATTAAAATATTTCAGGCTTGGCAAGTCATAACTTATTTCACAAATTTATAAATGAGTTTTAATTTTTTAATGGATTGTAGGTGTTTAACAAAGCATATGAATGCTGTGGTTGAGCTAAAGTTTCAGCGGCCCGTGTGCATAGAAAAGTACAGCGATAATAAAGTACTTGGTCGATTTATGTTGAGATATTCTGGAGACACTATAGCTGCTGGTGTTGTAACAGAGGTATTGTTTTAATTCATGGTTATTTTTGTATAGTATGGAAAATCTTTGTTTATAATTGGATACTCTAATCTTTTTGTTTCTAGATAAAGTGATGATGTAATTTTATCAATGATGTCTGAAACCAATGAAGAAATGTCTGAAATCAATGAATCATTTAAGTTTTACTTCATGAAATTTGACGAATCGTGACGATACCACGTGACGGTATGCGATGTAGCAGTTGTAGTATATCATTGCAAGAAATCAACAAATCGAATGATGCTTTTTTTATTTAAAAATAAAATGTAAATAAAATAAAATTAAAGACAAAATTTGCAATAGTTTTATATTTATTATTTAGAGATCAGTGTATAGTAGTTTATATTGTTGCATCATTCTTCTTTTTCTCATCTTCTTTTTTTTAGCCTATAGTTTATAAAATGGTAAATATCAAAGTGATTTCAAATCTTTACGTTCTAAACTGTAACCGATATTAGGGGTCTTCCATAAAGTACTTTTAGATATGGGTAATCATTACAATTATTAAGGCATGCTATCGGAAAAATCTGCCCACCTTTCTTGATCAAAAAAGGATGTAAGAAAGCTTAAATGTATTTTAATCAATTTATTTCTGAAAAATTAAGCCTGAAAAGATTACATATTAAAAAGGAAAAAACAAAAAAGCACTTAGTTTTAGAGAAAATGTTGACTTTATTTTTGATGCCTCCAATAAGTTTCTGAACAGAGGAATTTTTGTGTGTTAGCAGTGTAATCCTATTTTTTCTTCTAATCTGTAGCTGATTCTACTGTTTTTCCACGTACTTTCAATTTCTTTTTATAATGGCCCAATATTTTTCAATAGGACGTAATTCCGGGCAGTTTAGAGGATTCATATTTTTCGGAACCAACATCACTCCATTATCATCGTAAAACTTTTGAGCATCTTTTGAGTAATGTATTGTGGCTAAATCAGCCCAAAACAATACTAAAGTACTTCTATGAGCTTTAATTAGTCGTTTTTTTATGAGAAAGACAACGTTTCACGTATTCCGAAGATTTCATTGTGCCCAAACAAACATGAATTGGTGATTTTTTTCCGCAAGAGCTAAGTGCCTGCCAAATCATCAATTTTTTCAAAAACTTATCGGTCATAACATACTTTTATTTATCACTCACATTTCCTCTTATTTTAGAAGCATAGTAGCAGTGCCCAGGAATTTGTTTAATATCCATTTTAACATAAGTTTCGTCATCCATCAAAATGCAACCATTATGTTTTGTAAACAAGTTGTCATACAACTTTCGAGCTCGACTCTTTGCGGTTGAATTTTGTTTATCGTTGCAATTTGGCATTTTAACCACTTTAAAACTTTGATATCCAAGTCTCTGTCGCCATTTGTGTACAAAAAAATTGGAAACCTTCAGTTTTTTCAGACCAACCAGGATGTTCTTCCAATGAAGTCTCCAACCGTTCGAGAGCTCTAGGATTTGCTGTGCGTTTTTTTCGACCACTTCCTTGTTTTCTCTGAGTAGTTTTCTGTTCTGTAAACCGTTTAAGAACAGTATCTACAGTTCTTGATATTTTTTAATGATTTCGCCAATTTCTATTCGATAAAGTTGGATTTTTTAAGTGTTGGTCCACAATCAAAAATCTTTGTTTAGTTTGCTCGGTTGACATTTTGAAATTAAATAATATTTTTAGTTATTTTTTTTTTGCTAAAATGTTATATTATACAAACACTACCACACACAAAAAAATAATTTCAAAAAATGACCGTTAACTAGTTTTACCACACCGCAAAAAGTGAGCAGATTTTTCCGATAGCATGCCTTAATATGTTACATAATAATACTATGTTATGTTACAAATTAACTAAACGTTTTTCACTAAGTCAACCCGCAAAATTTTATGCGGGTTTACTTTGTAATAAATAATATGTTCATTTTCAGAAATTAGGAAGGAGGGGGCGTTGAAAGCATGCAGTTGCGTACAAGGGAGGGGGAGGGGGTCCTAAATAAGCAGTTTTACTGCGTACGTATTTTATGGATGTCCCTTTAAACGATTTAAAACAACAAACAACCCTTTCAAAACACAGAATTTTATTTTTTTATCATTTATAATTATTCAACAACATAATTTAAGCAAAGTATTTACGTAGATTTACTTATTTCAAAAACATAAAATTTTTAGTAATGAAAAGAAATTTGAAAAAGAACACTAAAAGAATTTTCCAAAAATAAAAAAAAGGGTTAACGTGTAATTAGTACATCATTTAACTTTAATCATTAGTTTTACCTTTCAAATTTGTTCAATGGAGTTACGTTTTTCTTTTTAAAAACTTTGTATTTCAGATTATTTAAATTTCAATATGATCACTGTGTCGCTGAACGAATATTAGGTTGAACTTTATTTTAAGGTATTGTTAGCTTTACGTCTGTTAAATTCAAAAATATATTACGAAAAATTGCAGCATTCCGTCGTGATGAAATATAGCATTTTACAAAAAAACAAAAAATTGTGTTGTTTAGAATATTATTTAATGTACTACACGCAGTAAATTTACGTACTAAATTTACTGCTAAATTTACTGCTATAAATTAATGCTAAATTTACGTATATTTAAAAGCTTTAGGTGTTTATAACTTTAGTATAAGTTTTTTTCAAATCATTTATTGAATACGCTATACTCTATCTAATTTTTTAATATTTCTTTTTATGATAGCTAATGTAAGAAAATATTTCATAAATAACATAAAAATACCGTAAAGATTTTCATCACCTGTGTGAATAAAATGCTAAACTGTTCACCTGAGAATTGTTTTGTTTAACAGGTCAATTCACATATTGTTGGTAAAATGCGGTTTAAGTTTAAAATGGTACTGCTCTCTAAAGTTTAAGTTTAGGTGTAATAATGTATTATCTCTATATCCGATTTAAACCGCCGAGAGCCGTCGGCGGCCATGTATCATATTTGAATATTGAACAGTGAACAAAATAAAAAAATAATAAACAATGCAACACAACATCACATAAAATATCTTGTCTGCTTTTACAATTTTACAAAATAAAATAATAAAATCAAAACAAATTCTTTACCTAGCTTTTAGTTACCACAAATTTGAAGAACAATATTACAACTATATTATATTCTACGGTTCGTAGAAAATAATATATATACATATATGTCTAATAATAAGAATAATAATAAGAATAAGAAGGAGTATTAACAGTCTTCTTTGTTTTTTTTTTTTTTTTTGGTTTGTTTTTAAAATCAATTCATAATATTGTTTGTCTGTGTCATTTGAAATATACTTGAGAATTTTTTCCAAATCTCTCTTTTTATTTTCCGATAGTAAGAAGTTTTTTATGCCATACTTTTTGGCAATGCATTAATTCAGTTTTCTTTTCCTGACCTGAATTTGTAAGAAATACAAAGAAACAATTCTTTGTTTCTTTGTATTTCTCACAAATTCAGGTCAGGTTTATCCTGCTACTAATAACATGTAACCCAAAGCAATCTGCTTCATGTCCTGCTGCCTTGTAGGATACGCCTTTTTAGGGAAAGGCTAGGAGATATAAAACTCCAATATAAAACACCCCCTGCCTTGGGGCTCTTGGTTAAGTAAAGGCTAGAGATGATGTCTCGATAAAAATATTCTTCTTGGGCAGATGTTAAATGCATCCGGCAGCCGTCTTGTAGAAGGCCTCCTAGGTAAAGACTTAAGGGGTAAACAGATTCTATTTGTTGACCAGCCTCGCACCCCTCCATTATCTGCTAGACTGGTGCAGATGTATTTTAATACATTGTTTCCAGTGCTATGTTCCAGTGCTATGGTACCAACAGTGCTATGTTGCGCATGGATGGTGTCCCTGTTTGTACTTTTGGTGTGCATTGCCAAGACCACATTGGAGCCCTTTGTTAAGGCTTAGGGTTTATTGATAGAAAAGAGGCAATTGCTTGGGCTATTAAACAGTGTACTGAGCACTATCTATGTTTAAAGTCAAGTTCTTTAACAAATTTAAAAATGAATAAAGTAACAAAAATTATAAAACATAAAAAACCACAGTCATCACCAAGTTCGCTTAACCTATCATTTACTAATATTCGTGGTCTTCGAAGTAACTTTTCTTCTGTTGAGTCTTATCTCTTGTAAGTTCACCAAACCTACTATCTTCCTTTAATTCGTAAAGACTCCAATAGTCACATGTTTGGCCTGGGCATTTACATTTGTAAGAATTCACCCATTTGTCGGGAAACTAGGTTTGAATCCACAGACTACTCTTTTATGTGCTTTTGTTTAGCACCATCTTTGTTCTATATCTATATCTTTGTTCTATATCACTCTCCTTCATCTTAAGACTGCACTCTTCTTGATGTTATTTCTGAAAAAATTGACCAAGCCCTCTCTCTTTATCCATCAGCCAATATTGTTGTTGTCGGTGACTTATAGGTCATCACACTAAATGGCTTGGCTCTAGTGTCAGTGACTCTGCAGGCATTAAAGCCCACAACCTTTGCCTTTCTCAATCCCTAACTCAAATAATCAACTTTCCAACTCGCTTTCCAGACAATCCGAATCATTTAACTTTTCTACTCTACTTGTGTCTTGATTCTGATCCTAGCCTAACTCTTCTCATTGGTTTCCCTCATATTGTGCTGCTGCAATTGCCAATCGAAACCATTACATCCATATCTATCAGCAAAACAATTCCCCAGAAAACAGACGTCTGTTTATTACTGCTAGGAACCATAGTAAAATGGCTTTGTCTAACGCCAAAGCCCACTATTCTCAGATCATGAAATCTCGTATTTCATCACAAAAATTAGGCTCTCGTGACTTCTGGAGAATTTTTAAAAGTATCTTTAATAGTAGGGAAAGTCTGTAATTCCACCTCTTTTGTATGGTTCAGACTTTGTCGCCTCACCTAAGAAAAAGCTGAATTATTTGCTAAGAACTTTTCATCAATATCATCTTTTGATTCCACTAATTACGTTCTACCTGATATAGCCGTCAAACAGGTTGATCTATTGCTCGACATCCGTATCACTCCAGCTTTTGTATCTAAAGTTATTTCCTGCTTAGAATTTTCTACAGCTTGCTACCCGGATGACATACCTGTTATAGTCTTGCAGAAGTGTTCTCCGGAGCTGTCGTCTATCCTCTCAAAACTATTTAGCAAGTACTTATCAGAGTCTTATTTTCCAGCCTGCTGGAAAGCAGCATCTGTTACCCCTATTTTTAAAAATTCTGGAGAGCGATCTGGTTCGTCTACCGTTCCATTAGCCTTCTTTCAATCATAAGCAAGGTTTTTGAATCTTTAATTAACAAACATTAATCT